ATTGTAGCTCATTTCATGCAGTAAATATTCCTTTTCTTTTCCCTGTGCTTTCCTTCTTTCACGTGATTATCACCTTAAAAAAAGTCAAATGGTGATTTTGCAGGTATACCTCAAAGATGCTTCTGGCAGCCATTGATGAGCACTGTCGAGGAACTTATGATTTTATTTATTTGCCAATTGACTTCAAGGCAAGTAACTTCATTGTTTGATCAACCGTTTTCCAACCTTGACACTGATTCATGATTGTAAAGGCTACATGTACTTGTAGTTGAATGTGTTTACTAACCCTAAATTTTACAAATATGATCTGCAGAACAAATGCAATGTGGGCTATGCCTTCATCAACATGATCAATCCACAACAGATCATTCCTTTCCATAAGGTTTGATACATGGATGATATGTCCCTCTAATTTCTGTTATTTATGCAGATACTATCATCTGAATGCATAATTGTGTACTTCACTATTATTTTGATAAATTGAAGCTATTGAAGTTAAACCAATACTTCTTTTCAGGCATTCAGTGGAAAAAAATGGGAAAAGTTCAACAGTGAAAAGGTGGCGTCTCTTGCATATGCTAGGATTCAGGGAAAGGCTGCTCTTGTTGCTCATTTCCAGAATTCAAGCTTGATGAATGAAGATAAACGTTGCCGCCCTATTCTCTTTCACACAGGTGGCCCAAATGCTGGTGATCAGGTAGGTTATCTTGACACACTATAAACAAGCTCAATGTAATTTTTTTTTTCTTCCTTGTGTCCTGAAATATAATGTAGTTTTACTTGTGTGGCTTTCCCTATTCTTATATCTGTAATGGAGAAGGCTTTTGAGTATTTAACTCCTACTTTGTTGTTTATGTAGGAGCCCTTTCCTATGGGTACCAATATTCGATCAAGACCAGGGAGAACTCGAACAACCGGCAATGACGAGAACCATGGCCAAGTTAGTTCTTCAACTTTAGCTAATGGGGAGGAATTTTCCAATGGGGCAGACTCATTCTTGGGTTCTTCCAAGGATTCTGATTGAGCAGTCTGCTTATCTAGCTCTAACTTTAAATACCATTTGAGAGTACTAGAACTTTATCCACCCTACTCTGTATTTGTGGGTGGCCTGATGACTTTTTTTTTGCTATAGAGAAGCAGTTTTGGGAACCAAGATGCATAACCGAAACTAAATGGTACCTGACAAATTTTGTTGTTCTATGGAATTTTTTCTCCTATCAAATCCCATTATGAGTATAGAGACTGGCGTAATGGGGGCTTCAAATTTTGGATAGTCTTTAACTGAACAGTATCACGATGTATAGAAGTTCCTGGGCTTATGCATGACTTGAGGGATCCTTTTTTTTTGTATCAGTCTTGTATCCCAAGTTATGTGATTTCATTTTTGTCCCTAAGGTTTTGGAATCCCGACGAGTCCAGCCTTTGGTCTAGGTGGGGTATGATTGCTCAAAGAGAGAGAGAAAGAGACAACATATCTAAGTATTCTAGTTGTGGAATTTTGATCTCTTGTTTACCTTTAATGAGGTACATTCTTTTTTCCTTTTATTTCTCTTTAAATCTTATTATTTCCTCTCTTGTTGCTTGAGGATACAAAATTTGAGACAGACTTGGATGAATGCTTTGTCATGGATTTTTTCAGCCTTCTTGCTATGACCCAAATATAGGAACTTGGTTTGAAACATGTAGCTTTAATTTGTGTTTCCATATTGCTGGGTTATAATTCATGAACGGGGTTTTAAGGGGGTTGTGCCGAAAATGAGACGGCACAGGAACCAGTTCTTGCAGATGATCGTGCGTATGCAGAGCATATCAGTACTTTGTTGTTCTTGGCTGATTATTTTCCCAGATTTTGTTGTGAAGCTTCTTTGCCAATTTAATTGGCCATATCAAGACTTGACCATGTCTTATTCATCAGTATGCAAATACTTTGATGTGAAAAATGCCGACTTGGCTGATTACCTCAGCAGTGTTTTATATTTGCTGAGAGGGCAGTATTTGATGCAAATATCATTGCAGCTGAATGTTGAACCACACGGTACAGGTAGATCTTGACTAAGACCCACTAACCTGGTATAGATTTAATTACCAGAAATGTGAAAGTCATTGACCCTTGGGCTGTTGGGACCTCACTCTCTTCATGATATGGAGTCAAATTATTACTATTTCATCAAACTTGTATGCATAGTGGGCCTTTGTATTATATTTGCATGTCTGCATCTTGATCTAATTCCACACTAGCTATCATACTCTACTGGTTGACCTCTTGACTTACTGACATTTTTCATGTCTACCTCTCGTTGACTCACTGGCATTTTTCATGGAGCATCATACTCTAGTGCTTGACCTATTGACCTTGCTTTCCACCACTATAGGCTCTTGGTTTGCTACGCAGCTCTTGGATTCCAAGTGCTGCACCATGAACCCATGATGTGTTTCATTTCTCTCTAGTTCAACCCATAATGTTAAATACGATAATATAACATAAAAATAATATGAATAAAAAATATTTTAAATATGATATAATAATATAATATAAAAATAATACAAATAAAAGATATAAAAATAGTCTAGTGCTTAACCAATTGACCTTATGCCTCTAGAGTCTATTCTAGCCTGAAAATGTGCTAGTTCTTGCTTTCCACCACTCTAGGCCCTTGGTTTGCTACACAGCTCTTGGATTCTCAAGTGCTGCAACATGAACCCATGATGGTTTTTCTTTTCCCCCCTCTCTCTCTCTCTCTTTTATTTGTAATTTTAAATAAAATACGAATAAAAAATATAAAAATAATATAATTTAAAATTTTAGCAAAAAATATTAATAAATTTAATAAAATAAAAAATATATTTTATATTTTTATATGATATGAATCGTGATATATAATTTTTATATAAAATATAATAAAAATATAAATTTTTAATAATTTATATGATATGAATATATAAATTATCATGTTTATTTACAGCATCCAAAGACTGTTTGCATACGAGAGAGACTGAGACATGGTCTCCCTCGACAGCATTTAACTTTTTTTCTACCAGTTTTCCTGAGAATGATTCATTGAATTCCAAATACATTGCAGGGAAACAAACAGAAAAGCAAATCCATTATAAAGTGAGTGGGGGCCTAAAGAAAAAAAATATATCTATTGTTGCCTATTGGCCATGAGCAATGCTTCTGATTGAAGATTTGATGCCCACTTTTCAACACTAAAATTGGCCATTGCAATTACGTGGGTTTGGGGTCTACTAATTATGCTTTGCTTTTAGGTGTTTAGCAGTTAACAAGCCGCCGACTGGTGACTAATTGTGCCTATGGCCAGGTTGACATTGCTCTCTTTTTCACTGGTTTCCATGAATGATGTTCCTGCTTTTCTGCTGCTGCTTAGTCAGCAGTGTAACAATTTTATTGACTTGAGGGAAAAGAAAACTTGCGTTCCTCTCAACTGAGCCCAAGCATTGTTGTTAGTCAACTTTTGTCAACTGAGCATGAGAAAAATAGCCATAGAAAAAGAAAAGAAAAAAAAAACCTTTTGTCTACGAGTTTTCTAAATTTAATGTTTAGTTTAATTGATTTACAGCGTTGTTTTAAATAAATGATCTCTAAATATTTAATATTTAAAATTTAAATTCATAAGCTTTTTTTTTAATGTTTATTTTTTTTATAATAAAAATATCTTATCAAATATTAATTAATTATCAGTGATTAAATTTGATAATTCGTATATTTATATTATATAAAATGTTAAAATTTATATATTTTATTCAAAAATTATATATTTTAATTCGTGTTAACATAAAAATATAAAATATATATTTAATATTATTAAATTTAAATATAATAATTATTAAAAATTTAAATTTATTACTTTTATTTTTTAATATTTTATTTGTATAATATTACCGACTAGATTATTTTAAATTATCAGGTCATCAAATCTACTAACTATGGCTTTATCAATGTCCCAAAAAAACAAAACATGTTATCAAAAAGGCTGTGTAATTTCGTCTTCTTTATTGTTATATGGGAAAAGAAGGGGCCATAAAAAAAGACTCTTATTTTAAACTTTACCTCTCATTCTTTCTTACATTCAAATCATCGAAGTGAAATTTGATTGTTTATAAATTGGAACCCACCTTTTTTTATCTTTCTTTATTTACCTTTTTTTTTTTTTTTTTCTAAATTGAATTGAAAATAATTAAATATTATTTTTATATTTTATGAATTATATGAATCTTGTCATATATAAATATGGAAACAATTTTAATTCGTATTTTCTTAAAAAAATAATTTTATTTAAAATTTTAAAATTCAATAAATTAACAATGAAGTCCTTTTCATTTGAACATGGTTTAAACAAAAAAAAAATTATATTTTTGGTTCGTCCAATTTAGTAATTGATGAAAAGGAAACCTTACCTGCCCAAAACATCAAAATTAATATAAGTTGCCGCTAACACTACACCTAACCCAACCTTTTTTATTTTTTATTTTAGTTATGATAATAACACGTAAAAAAAAAGTCAAAAATCAAATCGATATAAAAAATATAAAAATAACATATAATTTAAAGTAATAAAATTATATAAATTTAATAAAAATAAAAATATATTTTATATTCAATATGTATTATAATAATTTTATGTTATATATATAATAAATTAGAACATAGATATAATAATTTATATATTTATATTATATAAAATATCAATGATTTATATATTTATATTATTTTTATATAAAAATAACGTGTTATAATACGTTGATATAAAATATATATTTTTTATTTTATTAAATTTATTTATAATTTTTATTAAATTTTAAATTTTATTATTTTTAAAATTTTTATTTATATTATTTTTATTTCGTATTATCGTATTTACCAAAACTCGATTTTAAAACGCGTTTGTTGTTGCCAATTTGAACGGACAGACAGAAAAAAAAAAAAAGAAGAAGGTAATTTCCTAACCTTGTTTGAATGCTTACTATAAAAGGATTTTAATCTCCATATTTTCTATTTTCTATTTTTCAAAAAAAAAAAAAACGCTCCATTTCTCTCTACTTCACTTTTGAATTATTATTATTTTTCTCATGCATATGCATCGTTTATCGGGTTGAAAAACAGAGTCCGCGAATATAGTTACAGATGGGAAATTGCTGCTCGGACGTTAGCGGCGGGATGTCCGCAGTGGATGGCACCTCCGCTTCCACCGCTACTGGCAACCAAAACGACGCTGTCGACTGGTACTTCAAGTCTCGTGGCATCTACGCCCCCTTCTCTCAGATCGAGGTCTTTTTTTTTCCTTTCTCTTCAGTTACTTTAGTAATAAGGACTATACACAATGCCTAGTTTTGGCTTATAATGAACCGTCGAATTTACCATGTTACCAAGTAAGTAGATGATTGGCTAATCGATTTAACGCACCTTTTTACGGCTTAATTTAATAATATTTTCAAATTCAGAAACTAGGAATTTCTAGGTTTATTAGTGTTTGGATTTGGAGTCCTTGATTTTGATCAGTGTTTCGTTTGCTCTAAATTTTGTGAAATTAGCTATTATTATAATTATTTTTTTTATATTTCAAACTCTGTGCTGTTGCATTGACTCTTTCGTGCAAAAACAATGTTATGCAGTTATCATTTTCTGCCACAAATTTGCGAGACCGTGATGTTTTCTCCAAGGTATGTACGTGTATGAATATACTGCAAAGACTGATCCCAGCTCTACAAGCAATGACGTATACCGTATTGACTTTGTTGTTGAAATTAAAATTATCGTGAACGATTCAGTAAAACTTACTTACGAGAAGTTCTAAGCTTTAGGGGCAACACATTGTTGCATTAGTTGATAGCTAGTAATAGAATTTGTGGAGGATCTTTCTGGTGTGGGGTGACTTAATGATGCCTTTGAGTAAGTCGAATTAGGAAATAAGTTTTGGGAAGTAGGAATTGGGCAGTTGAAGGTGAGAAGTCACACTGTATGGAGAAAGTGTTTTTCATTAAATTGAAACTCAGATACCATATCCATAGGTTAAATGGTGCACTTAATGCAACCAATGAAAAGATGTTAGCTCACCTCGTAGGGAAGAAGGGTATGGTGTGTTCTTGTGCAACTGGCTGTTAGAGTGGTAGTGTGACAGAAGGATGAAATATGTAAAGCATTCGCATGATGCAAAGTCTTAAATAACTCCTTTATTAACCCCATATCCAAGCTGAGCAAGCAAAGGCTCTTAAAACATCCTAGGAATATAAACTTAATGAATTGAAGAATCATGTCACTAACTATAGGGATACTTCCATCATTTTGATTGCATCTTTAGGTGCAACTTGATATTATAAGAAAAATTCTGAGATGAGGACAGATTGGTAAATCTATCATAAATGAAAAGTAAGCTTCTGCTAACTTTAGTTTGAATGCTTAGTTTGCTCTTACAACATTTTCAGTTGCTGGTTTTGCATCAACTAATAATACTTATGTACTTTAGTGCTTTATTCTTTAGTCATGAGTCATACTTTTATTGCAGAAAACTTAGCCTAATATCTCATAAGTTTTGTTTGCTTTAGAGTGATCCGATGTTGGTGGTTTGTATTAAAGAAAGAGATGGCGCAATTACAGAAGTATTTCGTACTGAAGTAGTTCTCAATTCATTGAATCCTAAATGGATCAGAAAGTATACTATTACTTATCATTTTGAGGTTATCCAAACCTTGCTGTAAGTTCTATTCTTCAAATCATTTTTTTTGGTCATCAAAATGATGATTTGATTTGTTTCACTGTAATTTAATTTGTTTGTTGTTACTTGATCACAGGTTTCATGTCTTTGATGTCGATACTCAGTTTCACAATGTCGAAGTAAAGGTATATTTGACTAATGCTGCCTTTTCTTGTTCCTTACCCTGACTCTGCCTCCCTTTTTAAATAGTTTAGTTTACAAACTGATAAACTAGGAGGGATTATGTATACTGTGTTTGTGATATATTTGTATTTGTCTTTGTTTTTTTTGTTTAGGATTTGTTTTCTCTGAAGTCACAGTTTATTACCATGCTTATTTACGTTTCTGTAATTTGGAAATATGATTTGACTTTGCTAATGAACCAGATGTACAACAATTTCTCCTCATGTTAACCTCATAATAGAGCATAGAAGCATGAAATCTTTGTTGATGCTTTCATTTCTGCACAGATGCTTAAGCTGGAGGAGCAGCAATCTCTTGGTGAGGCAAGTTGCGCATTGTCAGAGGTATAGCATAAGTATCTTCTTAGTTATGTCTTTCCTTCTCTAGTGCCTGTCCGTGTTAACCAGTGTATTTGAATGCAAAGATCTAACTAAGCTGGAATGCCTTTAGTTGAAAACACTCAGATTTAAAATAAAAGTGAGGGATCTTCACTTGCTGTTTTGCTTTACTTCATTTAGTTAAACTACAAATTTTGGTATAGTTATTCATCAAATAATTGTTTCTATCTTACAGATTGTAACCAAACGAAACAGGTCATTAACCTTGGATCTTGTATGTAGAGAGGAATATGTCACATCAACCCATTCCCAACACTGCGGAAAGCTTACTGTGCATGCTGAGGAAATTTTTAGCTCGAAGACTACAGTAGAGATGACATTAAAGTGTTTAGATTTAGAATCTAAGGATCTCTTCTCAAAAAGTGTATGCATTGTTGATTTCAATTTCTCTTACTTTTTGTCATATTTTATCAGGAATATTAGATATCTTTTGGTTCACTTCTGGACTTGTCTTGCAGGATCCATTTTTGGTAATATCAAAACTTGTTGAGAGTGGGATTTCTATTCCCGTATGTAAAACTGAAGTCTTAAAGAATGATCTCAACCCAACATGGAAGCCAGTGTTTCTGAATATTCAACAAGTCGGAAGTAAGGTATAACAAGTTTTTGTTCATACATTTTAACAAGATCTACTATTTCTTTAATTTGTTACATTGCAGTGCAAGTTTGGTCTTTGCCGGTCATGCCTTATGGGGAAACTATTTTCCTTTCCATCAGTTTGTTCATTCTTCCTTTTAGTAATCCTGATCTTGCTCAAAAGTCAGAGCTCTTTAACTCTGGAATTGGTTGTTACTACTGAGCTGTCTATATAAACATTCAGGTGTCTGCTTTACATGAGTAGATGTTTTCGTCTTTGATTTTGAGCATTTGTCTATAAGTTAGCCTTTATCATTTTTGTTTCTTGCTTGTTTTCTGAATCTTCATTTTCTAAATAAACTTGCAGGATAGTCCATTGGTGATAGAGTGCTTTAACTTCAACAGCAATGGCAAGCACGATCTGATTGGGTAATTATAGATCTTATTTTCATTTTTCCTTTTCCTTCAGACACTTGCTGATGTATCTTTTTTTTGGGTTTTGTCAGAAAAGTCCAGAAGTCGCTAGTAGATTTGGAAAAGCTTCATTCTGGAAGGGAAGGCGAACATTTATTTTTGCCAACTGTGGGGCATGATTACCAAAACAAGGTTTAACTATATGAACTGGAACTAATTGCATAGGTTTTTTTTTTACTTAGCTTTTTTTCACTGATTTGCTAACTTTGATGTAGATACTAAAAGGCAGGCTTTTTGTGGAAAAATTCTCTGAGAATGTCCAACATACCTTCCTGGATTACCTAGCTGGGGGTTTTGAACTGAACTTTATGGTTGCTATTGATTTCACTGGTACCTTTCTCTTTACTTGTACCATTGACATAAGTTTTCTTATGGACGTGGTTACTTTCTTTCTAACAACTTTTAGGAGATCAAAGCACCAAGTCAGGTTGTCAGTCATGCCATTTATGGAATTCTTTGTGTTTGTCTTCATTTTGCTTCCTATTTGCATTTGAGTTATGCCCATCTTATTAATGTGTCAACTTTTGATGCTAAAAGACTAGTTCTTAAATGAGGCATAAAGGCATAATTTTGCTTTCACCTTATAGTCAATCTATGGGCACATCAAAGTTTCCTGTAATCTGTCATGCAGAATTGCATGCCATTTTCTTGGACACTCTTTTCATTTCGGAGCATCTTCCAACATGGAGAATTTTACTATATTTCTGGTTTTATTTCAAAAGATCTTTATTCTGGATTTTGTCATTGTATCTTTGTGTATTCCTTATTTAAGCTATATTATTTGTTCAGTTGGAAATGTGACATGCATGTTCTTATTTTAGAAGTTGTTCATTTCAATTCTTGTATCATTATCCATATCATTCTCGATGGGGATAGTGGCACTAGTCATCTTTGTACTTTTTAGCAATTGTTCAACTCAATCCTTTTATCATCATCATCATCATCATGAATAGTTGCTATGCTCCATTTCATCTGAACAGTCCCTCAAAACCTAATTTTATATTAAATTTTAGATTGATCTCATGGTTAACTCCTTTGATAATATGCAATGTTTTGCTGTTTAAGTTTATATGAGATTGGAATATGATATTGCTAATATTTGATATGTAGGAGTCCCACTGGCCAAAATTACAATGAGAGAAAATGCTTTATTTACCTGAAGTACTTGCTTTGTTACATATAGGCCCCACTAATATTCAGCCATTTGCAATCCTTTATGTCAACTATCAGCCATGTCTCTTTTTCAGTAGTTTCTTATTAAGTTTAACAATGAAACATGCCACATCTTTAATTAAGTTAATTGAAGGGCCAGTCAATGTAAAATCTGGACTACAAGGAATTTCTGGATTAAAAATAGTATAGTGAATTAAACAAACAATTTTTATGAGTACAAAGACCATTGCTGCTATTAACTCTTCTTGTTTCACTCTGTTAACTTCTCCCCCTAGGTTAACAAATTGTTTAGGATGAATCATGTAAAACATGCCCTAAGGATGTAGGTCTTAGGTTTGAATGATGCTGCACTTCTGCATCTTAAGACCTTAGGATTTACTTATATAAATCTGAAACTGTTGAAGTCATATGGATACATGTGCAAAGAATCATGCTGCATGGGCAGTTTTGTAAAAGTATTATAATACATTCTTACTTTTTAATCAGTTTTGTAAAAGTACTATAAAACATTCTTAGTTATCAATTCTTAATTTTGGTCTATCAGCTTCAAATGGAAATCCCCGCCTCCCTGATTCCTTGCATTATATTGATCCATCAGGACGGCCAAATTCTTACCAGAAAGTGAGAAATGGATCTCTTCAATAGTTTCTTTTTCTCTTTTTTTTTTCTTTTAGTGTACCCTAGAAAATATTATGCATCCATTTACCCAGGCAATCTATGAGGTTGGCGAGATATTGCAGTTTTATGATGCAGACAAGCGCTTTCCTGCATGGGGATTTGGAGCACGGCCTATTGATGGTCCAGTTTCTCATTGTTTCAACTTGAATGGAAGCAGTAACTACTGTGAGGTGAACAGTTTCCAGCATAAATCTATTTTCAATACCTCGTATGCTCTTATCTCTTACCTCCCATTATCTCTCAGGTTGAAGGAATCCGAGGAATTATGATGGCCTATACAAGTGCCCTTTTTAATGTTTCTCTTGCAGGGCCAACATTGTTTGGACATGTGATTAACAGAGCTGCACTAATTGCCAGCCAATCTCTTGCCAATGATGCTAAAAAATACTTTGTTTTGTTGATAATCACGGTAAGATATAGACAAGAAAGGGGTGGTTTTTCCTAGCGGCCAGCTAAAGTTTATAGAAAAATTTGTGCATTCATTGCCAAGATTCATACTTTTTTTTTTTTTCTTTTAGTGGTCTTTTTCTGGATTTCTCTTTTTGATGGGCATATATAATTTACTATTGTAACTGAATTTAATGTTTTTTTTCCTCATAATAATAGGTCTTCTATTCTTTCCTAGAATAGGGTTACTAATTTTTTGCACTGCTTCTGATATTTGTTAATATTGCTTTAGGATGGGGTAGTAACTGATCTCCAAGAAACCAAAGATGCCCTAGTAAAAGCATCAGATCTACCATTGTCGATTCTCATTGTTGGAGTTGGAGGAGCTGACTTCAAAGAAATGGAGGTATTATTTTTCTCCATTTATATCCATTTGAGGGAGAACGATCTCTTCATAAGTTATCCTTTTGTTAGCCTACTTGACTAGAAGATTTAATCGGTTTATCAATTAACCAAATTTCTTTTACAGATTTTAGATGCAGACAAGGGGGAAAGACTTGAAAGCTCAACTGGACGCGTTGCTTCACGTGATATTGTTCAATTTGTTCCATTTAGGGATGTACAGAGTAAGTCATCTACTCACTCGGATGGTACTATGCGAGCACTGATTAAAATGCTTCGGAAACATTTTGTAGTCGGCGTTATGACAATCATTTTCGCTTGCAGGCGGAGAGATTTCCATTGTTCAAGCAGTTCTAGCAGAATTACCAACACAATTTTTAACGTACATGCGAAGCAGAGATATTAAACCAAGCACTTGATTTGGTAAATCATTGTACATATCAAAATGTTTTCATTTTTTCACGCATGGAGTTTGCCTCTTGTCAATGCTACCATGGTTCTTTTTTTAACGAGGTATTTTGTATTCAAGTCGTACATCACCATGTCTCTTCAGACACAATAGAACCGATAGATATATGTTGCATTATCACGTTGAATTGAAGATCGATTAGGTCAACATAAAGCTTCACCGTTTCGATTGTGTGCTGTCTTTGGCCACACGGCTGACAGCACATTCTTTGTCATGTCTAGCGTCCACGATTGGTTGTCGGATTCACAATGGGGCAACCAAAGCATCAATTAGCGACAAATATGTTGTTTTTAGAAACAATTTTAGACCAAGTATGAACAAGATATTGGTTAATGGTTGCCAGAGTTTCCTTTTGAATTCCTTTTTCCTCATTTTTGGGTTCAGACAAACATGTGTAGACAGCTGTTCACGTTTTAATATTGCCATGGTGCGATTGTTATTTCAGTCAAATTGCTGGCTACGTGTTATGATCGTAGAGATGAGCCATTAATTTTATATCCATTGTGTATTAGGGTCATTATCTGGAATATAAGAGCTCTCATTATATTTAATTTGTAAAATATTTTTTGTGAGATAAAATTATAAGGTTCAATAGGTTGCAGTATATAATATTTCATAAGTTGGATATTAGAGGTGACTTTGGGATATATTTAATTTGTTAAGAATTTCATTTTCAGTTCAATGTCAAGGCTATCTTCATCCTACATAAAACAAGCTAACATAAAAAGAAAGAAAATGAACAGAAAAGAGTAGTACAAAAAAACAAGGTCAATTTAGAAATGTATTTGAACTTTGAATAGAAGACTTTGATGAGGAAGTGGGCCTAAGTTGGGCTAAATATAGAAGAATACAAATTCCACGCGGTTGTCTTTACTCACTATTTCATGTCAACAACTGGTCAACCCCAATAAATTCCATAATCAAATAAATGCTTTTTATTCATGGGCCTTCTTCGGTCTTTTTCTCTTTCTGGTGCCGCCCGGATTTCGTTTTTATATTGATTTAAACTCGATATTTGATTACGTAGAATCATTTTAAAAAATAATATTTAATAAATTTAAATTTAAATTTCAATATTTATTATTATTTTTTCATGTTCTCATTTTATGACTTTATAAAAAAATTTATCCTTCCGTCTTAAATTATTTAAACGGTATTGATTTTTATAGAGTTTAAAAAATTTTTAACTTTAATATATTTAATATTAAAATTAAAATTTTTTTATAAAATTAAAAATTCATGATTTTTAATGTCAAAAAATAAAAAATATATAAAATATAATTTTAAACTATAAAAAAAATAAAAATTTTAGATTTTAAAATAAATAAATAAGACAGAAGGAGTAATTCTTGATTCATCGTGAGAGAACTGATGGTTTGAAAAGAATATTTAAGTTCCATTATTTTCATCAATCTTTACCTTCCAGAAGCGCGTCAAAGACTGAGGCTGCACTCACACGCCATCAATTTATAATTTTAGATTAATTTCCTTCCCTTTTTAAAATTTTTTTTTTAATTGATAATAAAAGGTCAACCTTCAACAAGTGAAACCCTTTATCTAACTCCAAATTTTTTCTTATTCACTGATTTAGCTCTTAACTGCATAAAAAGAAATACCCTTTCTTATATATATATTTTATAGTCTCACTTAATTTCATTTTCCAGATTCAAATATGAAATTGAAAATATTAAATTCTTACTATATATATATATATATATTGATGTAGTATTCCTTTACTCTTTTTCAGCTGCAACCCTAAACCATTACTATAAGCTTATCTGATCACTTCCATTAATCCTACTATATTTAATTGTGTGTATAGGGTGGGCGACTCTAGTTTTTGCATTTACACACTTATATTAATCTTTATCTTCTATTTACTTATAAAACACTTAATTAAAAACTTCCTTGTTCATTGAGGGAAGTGATACTTATATATATACACACACACATGGTTCAATAAGTAAAAAATAATTAAAGCCCTAACTCTTTCATCTAAACGTTAACCTTACTATTTAAATTTCACTTAAATTGAACATAGAATTTAATTTAATTAATTAATTTAATCATTTTTAAAAATGACATCCAATTAGATTTGATAATTTAAAATACGATATATTAATACGATATGAACACAATATTAATAAAGGATATGAAGATGACACGACTTAAACTTTTAGTAATAACTATATATGATTTTAATAAAATAAAAAAATATATTTTATATTTTTATGTTGACATGAATTTTGACATATAATTTTTATATAAAATATGATGTGAATATATGAATTTTAATATTTTATATAATATAAATATACAAATCGTCATATCTATATTTAATAAATTTATAATTCAAATCACAATACCTTTAATCCTTCTCCTAATTCAAGATTGTGACATCTTTATATAAAAAAATTCTCACTTAAATTGCTAAAATTCAAATCTAATGGACTATTAATCAATATATTATTACGGTATAACAAAACTTGCTTTGTGTTATTTTTACAAATTCAAATTGCTTTTTCAAACAAGACAAAATTCATCATTTTGATAGTCACATTTGCATTTTAATTTTTGTTCTAAATGAAAAAGGCTTTGTTTAAAAATTTTTCTCTCTAATATTATTAATAATAACAAAAAATAACTGTTAATTTTTTAATGTGTATAAAAACAAAAAGACAAAAAAAAAGAAAAAGAATTCTAAGTAAAAGGGGGCTGTGGGGTTGTAGGGACGGGAGTGAAAAAAAGTACTAATAACCGCATCTAATTAAAATAGTAATCTATTTTGTTCTCATATAAAAATAATGTAGTCACATCACTTTATGCAATATATATATATATATATTATGCATGTATGTATATGTACATATATATGTATATATGTATATATAAAAATATATATATTTATATATATGTACATATATGTATATACATACATATGTATGTGCATGTGTACAGTCAAACTTAAAAGCTTTAACTTCCTTGAATGAAGAGGATACCACAATTATAGGTTATATTAGGTAACGAAGCTCTTTTGTGCATTTATATACATAAAACAAGTCTAAATGTCCTTCTTCTTACATATTTGGAGGATTGCCATGTATTTATATTTATTGCTTGATAGATTGTCATATTTTCTATATTTGTATTTGATGTAGACATATAATTTTACTACATTGAAAATTATTACTCCCTAATTATCAGTTATTACAGATTTTTTAAATTATTTTTAGTAAGGTGGCAATTAATTGGAGTTAAATTGGTAATATATATATAAATATACACACACACTTCATTTGTCTTAATTTTTTGTTTTCACATATATTAAAAAAGCTTTGATTTTTTGTGTATTTAATTTATAAATTTAAAATTTTTATAATATTGATGTACCATATATTTAATTATCAAAAAATAAAAAATTTGAAAAATCAGTTTGAAATATAGAAAAAATAGGAGTACTGTGTTTTAAAATGAAAAAAGGATTTTATATATTTTAGGACATCTCCTAAAAGAAAAAATAAACAAAAAATGAAATGGAGGGAGTATCATACATTTTTAAAACTTTATATTGATTTTTTTCAAGCTTTTCATGATACTTTAAAACATACATGTAGTTTTTATTTATATCAATATATATTCATAATTTCAAAATATCACATTGGAGATTTAGGAAAGCTTATCCTTAAAGAAAAAATTGTTTTATGGACATACATATAATAAGCACATATTTATTTATCTAAAAAATATATGTAAAATTATACAATGGATTTTTGTACTTTAGTTAAATGGTGAAATTAGTAACTTTATCTTAATATGTTCAAATTGGGTTCCTATACTTTAATTAATTGTCAAATTTAGTCAAATTATTAAATGATTTAAACTTTTTTCATTAAAATTGATGACGAGACATTTTAATTTTTTTGACGTGATATTTTTGTTTATGTGATCATTGATTTTATTGATGTGTAAATTTCGCGTGATCAAAGATGATGATGTAGCAAAATTTTTTGATACATTATTATTTTTTCGTGCCAACTTTTTTTCAAATTGTACAGCTCGTCTTTATACTTTTGTTAAGTGATGAAATTAATCTATCTATCTTAATGTGTGTTTAAATTTGATCTCTATACATCAATTAATTATCTAATTTAAGATTTGACCTAAAATAACATATAAAAAACATAAATTATTAATTTGACCATGATATTTTTTTTCAGATTTAGATAATTTTTTTGGATGTTTGAATTATTAATTGGACTTAATTTGACAAATTGGGTTAATCTTAAATTAGATTATTAGTCCAACATAAATTGAATTATATATGTCATAATATATAGATCTGTAAATCTATAACTAGATTTAACAAATAGAGTTGCCACCAATTATTTTTTATTAGGTATGATTGGCCATATAATGAATCTATTTCTTGAAGGAGCTCCTAAACTTGACGAAGAGTCCCTAAAAGAATAGGTTCAGATATACTAACTAGAATATGGTTCGAGAGTTCGGTTACATATGAGAAAGGTTATAGTACCTCCACATGCCTATTCGAAGGATAGTATCATTTTATTTTAAATTTATCCTAAGGTATTGATTCTAATGATCTTAAATTTTATGTTGAATATTGGAAATAACTTTTAATATTCTCCATCAATCTGGTAGAACTCTTAAAAATATTTTCTCATTTTAAGAGTATTCAAGGATCTCATTTGTTTCCTTGAAGAGGCTCCGTCATCGAAAAAAGATTTAATTAATTTTTTTATTTTTTTGAAAATATATTTAATTATTTCACTATTTGAGCCAAATTAGAAATATATTTTTTTAATTTCTAAATTCTCCACCATTTGGGCCTATTTAAAAATTTTATTTATTTATTTATTTATTTTGGATTTTTTAAAATTTCACCATTTAGGTCAATTTAAAAATATTTTCTTTTTCGAAATTTCTAAATTTTTCACTATTTGGGCCTACTTAGAAATTCTTGTTTTTCCTTTTTCTTTTTTCGTTTTCAAAACAAAATAATATGACAATTATTTTTATTGAAATTTCATTTAAATTCTTTCATAATTTAGGACAAATTTAAAGAAATTTCTCATCTAAAGATTTCTTAAAAATTTACCATTTGAAATTTCTAATAATCTCATCATTGGATAATTGTCAAATATTTTCAATAAAATTTTTTTATTTTTATTTATGATTTTTTCCTCTTTTTTTCTTTGTTTAAAAATAAATATTAATTATTGTTATTGAAACTTCATCTAAATTATTTCACCATTTGGGATAAATTTAGATAAAAATTTTTACCTAGAAATTTTATAAAAATTTACCATTTGAAATTTCTATAAATTTCATCATTGGATAATTAATACTTATTCTCAAAAAATATATTTTATTTTATTTTATTTTTTATTTTTTTAATTTAATCATGCAAAAATACTTCTAAAAATAAATAAACGCGTAATAAACAAAAAATTACCAAAAAAATGGAACGGCTCGACTCAACGGCTATTGAACGGCTCAGCTTAAGGCACATAATGCGGCTTAAGGGGATGCGGCTTGACGGCTTAGTGTGGCTCAGCTCGACTGATGTCGAACGACTGGTACGCAAGTTAAAAGATGGGTTATGATTCAGGTCGAATCGTTCGAATGAAAAATGTGTGGATCTTAGGTCTTCTTAAAATGAAAATAACGTTATTTTGGTGAGGCTATAAAAGGCCAAATTCTAGCTTTTTGCTTCAGATCTCCTTTTTTCCTTTTTTCTCTTTCTCTCTCTAGAAATCTAAGAACTCCGATTGAATCTTCATCAGATTTTGAAAAAAGTCACCGAAATCTAGGTTAGTTCACCAGAAGTTCATTAAAAAATTTAATTGGCATCAAAATTTTCAATCGAATTCTAGAAACCCTACCGAAAAATTCAATTG